TTTCCCATTGCATGTTTTTCTTAGATAACAAAACATACTAATCCAGCTTTCTAACTTTCTCAACTGGTTTTTTCAAAAAAAACCGAGTTTTTATTCGTATCACTTTATAATTAAATATAAATTTTTCTTTCTTTTCCAGAGCATGATGTAGATGGACCAATGGTCAAAATGATGAATAATATTGAACGAATATCACAATTAATACCGAAATTCAAACAGCAGTTAATTTTCTTAGAAGAACGTGAGAAATTATTTCGAAGAATTGATGATGGTTCAATTTCATCTGATGATTCATTTTCTAATACATCTACAATATCTAAAACACCAAATTTTACTTTACCAAATGCTCAAACATCACCTGCTGTTTCAGTTAATTCACGATCACCATCGTCGACTTATTTATCAAGCATTAATCTTTCATCAACAATGTCTATGGATTATTCACCAACTGATCAAGCTGTTACTGATGCAGGTGTACCTTCATCTTTTCTAGATGTATATGAAGTACCAATGTTACCAAAAGCTTTGTTGAAAAATATTGAAGCTGGAAATCTGAAAACTTTTGGTTCACATTGTCAAGGTCGACAAATACTAATCGATGCAGTAGTTCATGATCTCATTGAAAATTATAATTTGCTGTAAGTTATTTTATAGAGATACATATACTTGTCATGTTTTGACATATCTTATGAATCGATTCTTTTCTACTCTTTTTCAACAGTTTTATATTAAAAATTCACAATATTAACTTTTATAATTGATTACGTTGTTTATAATTTATATTTCAACAAATATGAGAAAAGAAACCGTGAACTTAAACAATTTTTTGTCAAAATATCTCAGACGATAGAATAAGATTTCTCTCTATCAAGAAATTGTCGATTATCGGCAGTTTTGAAACTTGATCAATTTTTCCTTCATTTTTAATTAATACTTTGTCTAGTCCTAAATTGAACGATCAACATAAAACGATTGGTTTTTCTTTGAAAAGGCTTTTTCAATTACTGTAGAATTTCACATTCAATCTTATTATTGATTTTTTCATTAGTTATCCATCCAAAAACACAATATAATGTCGTTGGTTCTGCTCTTGTACGATGTTTGAAATTACCTTCAACACCAGAAAATCTAGTAAGTAGACCTATTGATCACAAAATAATTTATTTTTTTAAATTTAAGGCAATTAGGAAAGATGCATTACAAACTAAATTAAAACTAACACGTGCTGATCATCCAAATAACAGTCTTGTTCAAGAATTCCGATTAAAATATTCAAAATTGGGATCTGGACGTCCAGTGAAAGAAAAAATTGGTGAAATTGCTGAACGTGATAGACATAAACAAGTAATCAATAAGTAAATATTACTTGCCACTTCATTCTTTTCTAGATGGTAATAATGCCTTATAACAATAAAATATCTGATGATATTCAATCAAAAGTGAAACAATTACAAAATTTTTCTCAACTGGATGTTAATACTCAATTACGTTTATGGAAAGAAACATTTGTCTTTCGTCGACAAGTCGTGCAAGATCAATCAACAAGTGATATTATGAAGAATTTTCCTGCTTATAGTGATGCTTTCTTGGTAAACTAGTTCCTCAAGGTTACTTCTTTGCATTAAATAATTGTTTTCTATTATAGGTCTTCGAAGAAGTAAAAATGTTGGTGAATATTGACTTAAGTAAAGAAGTTCGACGACAAGTTCATATTTTACTAGATAAATTAGTCGAAACTCCTGCATTCATTGTCGGTAAATAAAATTAATAATAAACATTCATGAATAAACAATTTCTGAATTTAGATTCACCTCCGATTCGATTAATTAAAATCTTCTGTCGAAAGTTCGGTGAGACTGTTCAACATATATTCTGCGAAAAGGTAAGTTTCATCTTTTACATATTCAAAATTTTGCTTAAAAACAGATGTGAAATTAGTTTGAATTGATCTCAATCAATAAATGATTGACTTAAATGATTAAAGATA